AGTTTTTATTTTTAATTTTGTCATAAATATAATATTACAATCCATGTTCCCTCATATTTATCTATTCTTTTAAAATAGTATTTGTAATAGTTACACATATTAAAGGTTTTAGCAAATAATAGTTATAACTAATATATATGATTAAAAAATATTTTTAAAAAAATAATATCTACTTACTATGAATAAGTAACTTAACAAATTTTTGTGATTTGTTTTATAAAGACATACTAGGGACACGAGGACGTGGTGTAATTGTCAGCTAGGAACCTACGGTGAGCGAGCACAAGTAGGAAGACAGAAATTTCCAAGTGGTGGGCCCCATCTAGTGAATAATCCTTATTTCATGAAGAGCTCAATTTTATGAAAGTTACAACAACAAAAAATTGGTCTCTTCCACTAATTTTCTTCTGTATCTATCAATACAATTACCATCACGAAATTAGATGACGTTTGGAATAAAAATTAAATAGAATAAATTTATGTGAAAAATAAGGATTATTTCATTTAAAAACAGCAAAAAATTATAAATCATGCTGACATTATTAAAATTATTTCATATCTTTACCATCTTTTTTGTGATGCCCACTACAAAAAAACAGCTTATTAGCGACAGAATTTGCGAAGGAAACAAATTCCGTCTCTAATTTCTGACGAAATTGTGACGGAAATTCTGTCGCTAATTTTTTGACGGATTAGTGATGGAATTTCTGTCCGTCGCTAAATTCCATCGCTAATCCGTATTTAGCGACGGAATTAGTGACGGAATTGTTTTTTGTCAGACAATTCCATCGCTAATTTCGTCACTAATCCATAAAAAAATTAGCGACGGAATTAATCCGTTGCTAATTCCGTCGCTAAAACCATGTTTTTTTATAGTGGCCCCCTCTAATCACAACTTTAATAATAGGGAAAATTTCACTGTAGGACCGTAGAAGACAATTAATCTCAAAGAGCCCCCAAAACTTTCTAAAACCTCACTGCAAGACTAAGGGGCCAATATGATATTAATTTCACAAACGAAATGACGCCACTGCCCCTAGTAGAAACTTATTTCCTTGAGGGAACAAGTGCGGAAGAGCGCATTTGCAAGGGGAACTAGCCAATTTACAGAATAAATACATATATTCACACGTGGAATCAGTCCGTTCACATGTGGACTGGTTCACCTGATGCATGTGTTCGTGAGGGAACAAGTGCAGGAGAGAGCATTTGCAAGGGGAACTAGCCAATTTGCAGAATAAATACATATATTCACACATGGAATCTGTCCGTTCACATGTGGACTGGTTCACCTGAAGCATGTGTCCATGAGGGAACAAGTGCGGGAGATTGCATTTGCAAGGGGAACTAGCCAATTTGCAGAAGAAATACATATATTCACACGTGGAATCAATCCGTTCACATGTGGATTGGCTCACCTGATGCATGCGTCCGTGAGGGAACAAGTGCGGGAGAGCGTATTTGCAAGGAGAATTAGCCAATTTGCAGAATAAATGCATATATTCACACGTGGAATTAGTCCATTCACATGTGGATTGGTTCACCTGAAGCATGTGTCCGTAGGGAACAAGTGCGGGAGATCGCATTTGCAAGGAGAACTAGCCAATTTGCAGAAGAAATACATATATTCACACGTGGAATCAGTCCGTTCACATGTGGACTAGTTCACCTGATGCTAAGGGTAGTGGCGTCATTTTGTTTGTGGAATTAATATCAATTGGCCCCTTGGTCCTGCAATGAGGTTTCAGAAAGTTTTGGGGGCTCTTTGAGATTAATTGTCTTCTGCGGTCCTACAGTGAAATTTTCCCTTAATAATATATCGTCTCCACCATGCAATATTTTTTTCCAAGTTTCAAACATACTTTGTATATGTGATGTAACAGTAGTCTTGATTATTATTTTATGAAAAAACGAGTTTTGTGTAATATGGATCATAATCTTTGAAGTTATTTCTCTTAATTCCACATATACAGACACCCATATATATATATATATATATATATGCGCTTAGTGAAGGATGCACTGACTAGTCAAAAGTTTGGTTGGACTATATATAATGTGTACTTTTTTCTATTGGCCAATAATAATCAAAGCACACTCTACATAATTTTGATTTTAAAGAAAAATCTAAAAAAAAAAGACTAATTTCAAAATTTCAAATCAGTCTCATAGTAAGAATATGAAAATATTCTGATAAAAGTTTACCTTTAATCTTTTAATTTTGTACAAATTTTTATTTAATTCCTTCATTTTATAAAGTGTTCTTTATTGGCAAAATAAAATTACAAAATCCATATACCCAAGCATATTCCTCGAATGACAGGGGATTGTTAATTCCCATCTTTTTAACCATGGTCCTTCAACCATGGTTATTTATTTAATTCCTGCTCCCTTTTAATTGACTGACAATAACAACCAATAACCTTACCTTTTTTTTTTTAACTAATGATTTGTTTGGTATGAGGGAAATGGACGGGAGGGAATGGTAGGGAAATTTTTGATGAGTTTGATATAAAAAATTGGATAAGTAAACTTAAAAACTTTTAATTAATTTTTATTATTCTTTTATTTTATATTTTTCTTTTATTAAAATCTTATGACCCTACTTTAATTTTCCAAATCGAGCTCGTGAAAACTTTTTCTCCTCTTCCTTCTATTTCCCTCGTACTAAACATAGGGTAAGTCTAAATTTTTAAGTCATTAAAAATGTTTTCAAAACCGTCTTATTACATTGAAAAGTACCTTCTTGATTTATTGGCTTGACGACTGATTGAACAAATTTAGTTGATAAATAATATAGAAAGAAAAAACAGAAAGTAACTCTTCTATTTGCAAAATAATAACGGCATGCTGCTAGCAAATGATTTGTCCCCAGTAAATGATTTTCCACAAAAGGTGGGTTAGATTATTAGATCATTGTCATGTGCTTGTGATGTTTGAACTTTAACTGGAACCAACGTAGTACTTTATAGGACTAATATAATCATATCAAGAAGTAAATATCTATCATTTAAGCTAAGGATACAAGATGAATAGCAAGAAAGAGAGAGCATGCGAAGCGAATTTAAGCATAGTACAGAAACAACAACCCGAATTTATTAGAATAAATAGTCTCTCATCTAATATATCAAATATATATGCATATATAATCCTGGTCGCTGCTAATCAATTTATCACATCCAACGTTGCAATATCTTGATAGATATATCCCTGTACTTTGAGGGGTTGGTCCAATTTCTCTATTAGCATCATGATTGACTATGCAAATATCTATTTGGCAGCATTACAATGAGGAATCTTCAAATTTTCAAAGATAGGAGGGAAATGCGACTTATTATTATCATAAGAGTTAGTTTCACAACTCATGAATCGCTTGTGAATGACTTTGCTTAGTAAAACAAAGCTTGTATCTAATGGCCGATGACTCACATGAAAATCTTTTTGCGAGCACAAGCCCCTTTTGCGGACTTTTCCAAATTCATAGATTATTGTACATAATAACTGTAAATAATTGAGAATGTCGCTGTCATCCAAAAATTTGGTGGCAGAGTTTTGTTCTGCTCATGAATCTGTTACAATTTGCCATAATTTTTGAATACTCGAAGTATGATAATGAAATTCACAACACAACCAAACTAACAACAGATTCATGCTAATAAAGATTGCAATAATATTACAGGCCCAATACAGAATACATAGTCCGATCCCAAAACTAAAAGAAGTAATAAAAGAGGATGATACAATAAAATTTCTTATTCTTCTTGCCTTCTATTAATTTCTACCACACTATATGCCCACTTGCACAGACCATTATATGACACTCGCTACAGAATCTGATAAGCAAGAGTTGTGTTTGGGCTGTTGTAGATAAACCCCAAAATGCCAAGCTCCAGCTGATATGATGACAATCAGCAACGAAACAATTAAATCTTACAATTGAAATATAACAGAGAAAGAAACACATGAGTAATGTAAATCTTTTGTTGATAGATAACAACCGTAATTAAGAAAATATTACCTTTTAATTGCGGAGCCACCTGCGCCATCTTGCCACCAGAAGCAATGTTGACACATAGATAGAGTTTGACACCTTCCCTATGAAATTGAAGTAGGCATGCCTCCATGATCGAGTCGCTAACAGTGATCCAAACACTATCCAAAATCCAACAGCAAATCCCACGCCCAAGCTTTCGTACAATCCTTTCATGAAAGAATCATCTTCATCAGCATCTTGGTTGGCTTGTGTCGCATTCCCTGATGGATGTTCTTCAGAAGGACAAAGCTTGTCCAATGGCCTTCCACAGAGGTAAGGATTTCCTTCATAGCGGTAGGGCTCAAAAGATTGTAATTGTGTTCCTGTTGGAATTTTACCTGACAAGTTGTTGTTTGATAAATCAAAAACACTGAGTGAATATATTTCAGCAAGACTTGAAGGAATTTCTCCATGAAAATAATTTCTCGATAGATCAAGAGCTTCTAATGATTTTATTTGTCCTATCTCTGAAATGATTTTTCCACTCAAATTATTTGATGATAGATTCAGAAATCTCAACTCAACTAATTTCCCAATTCCTGTTGGCATTTCCCCCTCCAGATGATTGTGAGACAGATCAATGTTCATAAGCCCATAGCGATCACTATACACCAATTCTCTTCCTTTCCACACTATCGGCAACTTCCAATAAAAAAATCCAATTTCATGTAATTTTCCGTTCCCAATGGTGATAAGATAATCAGAATCATTTATAACATATTTCTGAGCCATTGCAACCAACTTGTCAATGCAACTTGGTATTGGTCCTGTAAACTTGTTAAAAGAGAGATCCAATACCCTGGCCTTTGGTAAATAACATAGATGCAAGGGCAACTTTCCATCCAATTTATTCATCCGTAGGCTAAGAGTTTCCAACTCTTTTAGATTGTCTCTCCTCCATGAAGGTGGTATTGGTCCTGACAAGTCATTTTTTCCCAAATCTAACATTTCCAGTTTAGTTGCATTTTTAAGGAAGGCAGTCACCAGTGAAGCAATTGTGTTGCAGAACTAACTGCTTAAGTTGACTTAAGGACCCCATAGAGTTAGGAATCCTTCCTGAGAGTTGATTATTGGATAAGTCAAGAATCTGTAATGATTTGAAATGATCCCAACAACCAACAAGTTCCCCTAATAAGTTGTTGCTTGAGAGATTTAAAATTGCCAAATTTTCAACAATTGCACTCCTTCCCTTGGCACATGAATGAACAAATTTTGAAATTAGATTTTCTGAAATGTCTAAAAATACGCTATTTAGTAGGAACTCTGGAACAAAGCCTTTAATTTGATTGGAAGCCAATGATATCACAGGAACATTAAATTCAAGTGTCAGATCCGGAATTACACCTGTGAGATTGCTCGATTCTATTTGAAGAATATCTGCTCCCTTTAAAAGTCTCCAAAACCACTCTGGTATAGAATCATTGATTTCAGCATCATGAATGGATAAATATTGTAAATTATTTTGGGTGCGAAGCCATCTAGGGAATCCAGGGCCCAACTTACATTGCCATAACCCTAACCCCTTTAATTGAAATGGAGGAATCCAATCGGTGCTGAATTTGAGGGTCAACAAATTCTTAGATAAGTCCAAGCTTTCTAACTTGGTGAGATTATCAAAATGGATGTCACTGATTGTTCCATTTAGGTCATTATAGGAAAGGTCAAGAGTCACTAAAGAGTTCATGTTTTTTCCAAAATCAATCGGAATGGGACCACCCAAGTGATTATTGGATAGAGAAAGGTATGCGAGATTGGAGCTTAGATTGAACAACCAAGGGAATAATGATGATGTTAGCTTGTTGCAATAGAGATCAAGAGTTGAGAGAGATGCAGAAAAATTCAAATGGGATGGAGGAGTTGATAGAATATTATTTTCTGTCAGGCTACAGTTTGTAAGCCGCAGCTCTCTCAGGTTTGGAAGCTTTCCGATAATTGGCAACAAGTTGTCAGAGTGATTAAGATTGGAAACATAGCTTAAATCAAGCGAAGTTAATGACCGAAGATTGGAAAGCCACTCAATGGCAACCAAACTCTTGTCATCAATTTTCAAACCATCATTGTAGCCAATCTGGAGTATCTTCAAGCTGGAAAGATTACCAAGTTGGCGAGGAATATTGCCCACTAAATGATTCCCATCTAGATGGAGCTCCCACAAACTTGAAAGGTTTGCGAGATGGAAAGGTATGTTACCAACTAAATTGTTGATGGAAAGATCTAGAACCAACAAGTTTGAAAGCTTGCAAAGTTCAATTGGTATTTTTTCACCAAAAGAAGACCTACATACATCAAGATATCGTAATTTGGTGAGAGAACCAAAAAATTTCGGGATTTGACTCTCATTGAAATCATTGAAACTGAGATTCAAATAGTTTAAGTTTTGCAAGTCCATCAATGATGGGCTAATCTCCCTCTTAAGGCTGCGAGGGCCACCCACCACCATAAAGATGGAGCTTCTCAACATGGCCAGTACGAGGATTACAGAGAACACCACTCCAGTGGCAACAATCTGGAGAAGAGCCCCATGAAGACAGACGACCATAATCATCCACAAAGGCATTCTTCATGCTGAGAAGAGCTTGTCTTTCCTTGCGCAGGCAACTAGCGTTGGTATCTCCCATTCTCCAACATGACCCTGTCATGAACAACTGAGCCTGCAAGTGCAGCACCATGAGTATGATGATCGGTTGCGGCAGTTTCACAAGGTTTAGACAACTCACGCTCATCATTATTGCAGCTAGCTCATGCAACGTGAAACTCAAACAAGTACATGAGATGAACAACCCTGGCCTCCTTATTTATAACTCAAGGTCTTCCTGATAATGTGAACAATAATTGCGTGTCTACACCAGACGTACACTATAAGTCAAGGTCTCCCTCAATAACACGATTGGAAGGAATTTAAATTGAGTTTTTGCTTTCTTTTAATAGCTTAACATTTAAACAGTGTGCTATCCTAACATTCAGCTACTTTCCTTTTCCCTTTTCAAGTCAACTCCTAACAGCCACTTGACTCAACCTCCTCCTCCAGTTGAATTTAAGTCTTTGCTTTCACCTGAGCTTCTTTGGTTTTTTCCCTCTTCCAGTTTCAGAAGATTGGTTGCATTGAGGCCCTAGTAATATGTACCGGTTTATCCTAATAAATTAAATAAATTTGGCTCTTATTACCCAAAAAAAAAAAGACTCCTCCTCCTCCTCATCATCATCATCTTCATCATACTACTACTATTATTGTTACGTAAATAATTGTAAAAATGAAAAAAAATTTTGGGGTTTAGAACGATTTGAGCTACTGAGCACCATGAATATGTTTGATTCATTTCACATACCTTTTATATTATATTAATGAATAAATTGATGGCAAAATTTTAGATAATAATATTTTAAAATATATCTTAAAATAATATTATACTAACAGGCCTAATGAAAATGAAAACGAAAAATATTAGTATTTGAAAAATTATATTTTAAAAAATTCAGTATTTGATATTATTTTCATGAAAAGTATGTCGAATTCAAGCTTCATTGAAATCGGCATGAGAATGTATTTGCATAAATTATGCGTAATGATATTCAATAATAATTGTAATTAGTTTGGTTAACATAAAATTCTTTATAAACAGAATCTGCACATATAAGAATTGACGTATATTTGATGAGCCGCAGCAAATCCTGCATGGATTGGGTCTAACAGAGGCATTGAGTCATAATATTCCATGCATCTTTCCAAAACAACAACGGCTATCTTGTTTACAATACACCAGAAAGCAACTGGAAGCAAAATTACTGGATTTGTCTATTAAATGCTGTTAATCTCAATAATTGACCTTTGTTTTGCCGTCTAGAATTCACCAGCTTGTCTGTTTCTATGAACTAAAATTACAATGAAACAAGTGGCAAAAAAAGAAAGCCAAAGCTTTGAGAAAAAAAGATGAATATCTGTGCATTCTGGTGAAAAAATCTCAGCGCATGAGTGGCATAATTAAGTCTCGTCTGGATTATATGACTTCAAATCCTACATTCACGTTTTAGGTGATTAAAGGTTTTTTTGGATTCAATTATAAATAATTTTCAAATGTGATTTATAAATACGAGATAAATATATAAATAAAATTTTGTCTCAACTTATATAAATTTGTTTAAAAATTCGTTTTGAAAGGAATTGTAAACAAGCCCTAAATTGTTGACTTCTAATTCAAAAAGAGAAAAATATATTGAGCAACGTGGAGTTGACAGGATCTGCCAGAAACAGAGCAGCAGATGAACAGAGGATAGACAAGAAGGAAAAATGAGGAAGAACGACACGTGTCTTTCAGCTGTTGAGACATACAGCTTTTATGGCGTGCTGTACTGTCCTTATTGCATTAAACTTCAATGTTCAACTGAACCTTTCATTTGCTGATTGCTATCGGGGAAAACATTCTTTCGCCTTTTTTTTTATTCTTATACATATTAGAGGCTGATCGTTCAACGATTTATTAGGTATCACAATAATCTTAAATAATTAGTACTTGTAGTTCCAGGTCTGATCGGTTCTCCCCATCATCGGCTGACCATAAAGGTAAACTTTGAAATATTTTTATATATAAATGACATAAAATTTGAAAAGAAAATAATTTGTAAAGAGGAAAAGTGAACGTAAATATCCATATAATATATAAATATGTGACGTAAATATATAACAACTATGAAATCAAATTTACTACGCTATAATGTATTTTATAATTTATCAAGCTTCTTTTCACTGTTACAAATGATTTATTTTATGAGTTTTCGTGTGCGTTAAAGTAGTAAAAATGATGAATACAATTAGTGTGAATTAAAATTTAACAAATAAAAATCCAAAATGTGTTTGCTTCCCTTTGAAGAATATCGTTAAATGGGAACCTAGTGACCAACCGTCTCAGAGCACGTGGAGGAAGAAATTTCCAATCCTGGTGGTGAGTACTATCTATTGAATATTCGTCATTTCACGAAGAGCTCGATTTTATTAATATATTAATGTATCTATTGGCTATTGCAATCATTACCATCAAGGACTTTTATTTTCGTATTTATAAGTAATCTTTTATATTTCACTGGGGAAAAAAAACTTGGATTACGTTAACTATGTTTTGAAATTAATAATTCTCTAACTTTACTTTTATTTGATATATATATTTTTTAAGAAAATAATAATCTATAGGATAGTTATATACATTCATGCTAGATATTAAATGATATGACTTGGAAATAAAATTAAGTAAAATGGTTTTGGTATCTAATAAATAGAACCAAAGGAATATGTAAATAATCTTTGAAATTATTCCCCTCAAATCCTCAATTCCATTATTACATTCACCCAATATGCGCCTAGTGAAGGGTGCATCGTTTAGTCAAAAGGTTATTTGGACTATAAACGCACTAATTGTTTAATTAGCTAATTAATAACCAAAGCACACTTTACAGAACTTTTATTCTTTTAATTTTAATATTCTGTAATTACTTTTTAAAGATTTAGTTTTACGTATAGTTCAATGACGTCACGCGAAACCGACCTCATCTGATAAAATAAGTCTTTATTATTGGTTTTTTTTTAGTACAAACGGCAAGCTAAAGCTTGAAAATTAGAGAACGAAATGAAATAACATCGTTTAAATCCCTTGGTCACTTGTCGCCACTGAGCTTTTATCACGCCAATAGCCTTCCCTGCACCAAGCTGGTACTTCTGAGTATAAGGAGGTTTGCTGATTGCAACCTGGGCATTCCGAGCCATGCTGTCCTGCACAATGGATACTTTCTCTATTTGCATGTGAAATGGTCACCTTCCCCTCCTCATACAAGAGTTTCCTGGTTTCTTCAATTTCTGCTCGAAAAGGGTGATTGATTCCTCTGTCTCGTAACAGCATATTAATGGCCTCCACAGAATCTGAATATATTCAAATGTCACTAAGGTGGAGTTGTTTGCAGACCTCTAGCCCTGTCTTAATTGTCAAGATTTCGGCTATCGCTACTGGGTACACTTCGATCGCTTTTTGGAATCCCATAACCCACTCTCCTGATGCATCACGTATAACGCCGCCACATGCAGCTTGATCATATTGATGAACCGACGCATCGACATCCACCCTTACTTCCCCATTAGTTGGTGGTGTCCAAGTACTCTCACTGCGTTGGATTAACCTGTGGGATAAAATCCCCGAGTCCATTTCCTCCATGATATGAAAGAGGCATTGCTGCTGCATCTCTAGACTTGTAGGGGTTCCTTCATTAAAATTGTTTGCATCGCGCTTTCCAAATTATCCAACACGCATGCCCAAATATTTTGTCCATGGCCACTGGTGAAATCTAGTCTTACTAGGATTGGAGTTCCCGTTTCTCTTTAGCCACACCTGTAAATCACAAGAGAAAAAATATGTTGTTTGTTAGGATTAATAAAAATGCCCACACTTCCCTTGCCTCTCACAATCTCTCAGGGTGTGTAATATGTTCTCCTCACTATATGCAGCCAAAGGGACATCTATTTGTCTGGGTTAGCCCTCTTTTTGCTCTAAATGAGTTTGTACTTACTCTCTCTTGGGAGACTTGCCATAGGAAAAATTTTATTTTTTCTGGCACAGGCCACCGCCAAAACCTTGACCATTGTCTTTGACCAGTCGTCCCCTCTGGATGAGTTAAGAATTATAGGCCGACTTTACGGTGACTGAAGCTACCATCAGGCGACTTAGTCCAACAAAAGACATAAGCTCTATCATTTGATAGGGGTTATTTTGGTAAGAATACAGACCACCCACTCTGGAAATAGATCTCTCCATTGGTTCACATCCCATCCCCTGCTGGGAAGTTTGAAGCTTGCCACCATATCATTCCCGTTGATGTGTTCTGGTCTGCACACAGTATAATAAATTAGTGGTGCTTCAAGCGGGGTCCATCTGTCCCACCAAAACTTTGTGGATTGGCCGTCATTGACTTTTCTACCAATTCCATTTATAAAGGTCTCCTAGACAGAAGTGATTGCTTTCCAAGTTGGGGAGTTATATTTTCCTCTTTGAACTACAGGTATCGCCCCCTCCCCATATTCATAAGTACTTCATAGGCATCGCACCCATAGCTTCTGGGGTTGTGTGATTAGCTCCCAACATAGCTTCATTATGAAAGCCTTGTTTTGCAATTCCAGATTTTTGATACCCAAACCCCCTTCTTCTTTATTTTTCATGATCTTTTCCCAAGCTATCAAGTGCATCTTCCTTGTCGTTTCGTCTTGGCACCATAGGAAGTTCCTGTTGATTTTTTCTATCTCCTTCATTACACCCTTTGGCAATAACATGGATTGCATTTGATATGAAGGGAGAGCTGATATCACTACTTTGATTAGCACCGTTCTGCCCGCCATTGTCAGATATCTCCCTTTCCACAGAGCTAATCTGGTTTGAACTTTTTTGATAATGTGCCCAAAGGTATCTTTCATGATCCGTGAATGGATAAGAGGAACACCGAGGTATTTTCCCAGATCCTGAGTAATCCCAATTCCAAGAATTTGACTTAAGCCCAGAGCCCTGTTTAAGTGAACGTTTTTGGAGAAGAAAGCTTTTGACTTCTCCAAATTAATCCTATGTCCAGAAAACTCACAGAATCTCAACATTACTCTCTTGAGTATATTCATCTGTCTTGTTGAGGCTTCGGTGAACAGAATAGGTCATCGGCAAAGAAAAGTGTGAAATTTCCGGACCATCATTTTTAAATTTGAGTGGTTTCCATCTTTGGGCTTAACATTCAGTTAAGATCAAGTGTCCTAGCCTCGCCATGCAAAGAACAAAAAGATAAGGGCTAAGCGGGTCACCTTGCCTCACCCCCCGTGATGGCTTAAAACTTGTACCTTCAGCTCCATTCCACAGAACCTTCAAGGTTGATGTACTTACACATTGCATAATGATCTCTGTCAACCTATCCGGAAGCCCGATAATTTCCAAAGTATTCCTCAAGAAAGTCCAATCCAGGCGGTCATAGGCTTTCTCCATGTCCACTTTAACTGCCACTAGACCTTTCTACCTAGTTTGGTTCTCATCATATGAATAGCTTCTTGGGCTATGTAATGTTATCACAACTTGATCTTGACACGATGAAGCTACATTGTTGTGGTCCCACTAAGTCATTCATGATATATTGCAGTCTCCTTGCAATCAATTTAGTGATAATTTTCAGACTTACATTACATAAAGCTATTGGCTGCAGTTCCCTTAAGGAAGTCAGGTGATCCACTTTGGGGATAAGCACTATATTGGTTTGGTTTAAAGCTTCGATCCTTCTTGGCTCTCTAAAAACTTCCTTGACCATCTCACATAGACTGTTACCCACTTTATCCCAATGGGCCTGGAAGAAGTGTGGTTGTAGGCCATCAGGACCTGGAGCTTTGAACGCTCCCATAGAGAAGGCTATGTTCTTAATCTCTATATCAGTTCTCTCTGTTGATCCAGACCACTTGTTGTGGTCTAAGAGTAGGAAACAGATTGGGCCAATGGGGGTCTTCTAGAGTCTGCCCATCTTTGGTGTATAGATCTCTATAGTAATTTGTTGCCATCTGATGGAATCTTTCTTCCTCTGTAACCCGTGTTCCTGTTTCATCCTTTAGAGCCTCAATTCTCTGTTTCTTCCTTCTAAACATTGTTGAGGCATGAAAAAATCTGGTATTCTTATCGCCCCATTGTAGCCAATTACATCAGGACTTCTGGTACCACATCAACTCTTCTTGTAAAAGGATCTTGTTATACTCGGCCCATAATTTTCTCTGTAATCTATGCAGGCCGTGGTTTGATCTTTGCTTCTTGACCCTTTCAATTCCTTTTAATCTCCCCAGGATCTCTTTTTTCCTTTTGGGAATGCTACCCACCTTTTCTGTGTTCCATTGTAAGGCCATATTTTGAAATTTTTCCACACCACTGCACCAATCTTGATTCTGCCAGGCTTGGGAGACGATGTCAGGGAAGTCTTTTTCTACTGTCCAAGCTGCTTGATATTGGAATCTTCTGTTCACTTTTCTGGGAGTTTCCCTCCTATCACAGGAAATTACTATCAGTTTGTGGTCTTATTTGTAAGCTAGATCATGTTTCACAGCAGTGTGGGGGAACATGTTTTCCCATTGGAAGTTGCAAAAGACCCAATCAAGCTTTTCTTTAATGAATTCTCGTTCCCATGTAAAATGGTCATGAGGGTCCCTTAGTTCAACCAGTCCTGTCTCTTCAAGACAATTATTGAAAGCATCCATTGAGTTCGTATTTGGTACAGCTCCTCCAACTCTGTCTCTTGGGTGCCTGATAACATTAAAATCTCCTACTAACAACCAAGCATCTGTAGTATGCTCAGCTATGGTCCTGATAGTTTGCCACAAATTTCCTCTTTTAAGATAATTTGGCTCCCCATAAATGAACGAAACAAACCCACACTGATTTGAATTTTTCCTTCCCACTTTACAGTGCAGCAGTTGTTCCGTAGAGGAAATATACTCAATCTTTATGTCTCCTTCATTCCAGCAGACCCAAATTGCTCCTGCAAAGCCTGTAGCTTCTACTCTAATCCAATGTGAAAAACCCAATTTTCTAACCACTTTGTCAGCTTTTTGTCCGCTTATACGGGGTTCAATGAGACACAATATATCTATGTTCTTCCTTCTTACTATATCTTTAATGAGTTGAGGGAAGGCTCGGTTTCCTGCTCCCCTACAATTCCAACTAGCCACAATCATTTAAAAACAAAGAGAAAGAAAGGAAAAGAAGCGGGATACTCATCTGAGCTCTCCTGTATTGGGCACATATTCATCCTCATCCCAAATGTCTTCTGTCAGTTTAGCAGAATCTTCTTCCTCCATCCCCACCAGTTCACCTGTCTGGCCATTCAGGGTATCTGGTGGTTTGGTATTTTGATAATCAATATACTTCTCCCTTCCTTTTGTCTCCATGTTCTTGGGGCGTAAGGTGTCCTGCGTCTCAACTCTGCTTCCCTCCAACTTATTTGGTTTACTATTCATTCTATCTGATTGGGCTTCATCTTTAGCTCCCACCATTCGCCCCATTTGTCCTGCAACTACCTTGTGAATCCTCTAACTGGTCAATTTGGGCTGACCTTTGTTCACTCGGTCTACCTTCTCCATCGTCTGGGCTTTTTCTGTTTCTTTTGATTTGTTGGCCGTTACAGGCCCATTTCTAACCAATATGTTGGGCTTATCATTCTCTTTCCCCTGTGGTTTATGTATTTTTTTTGCTTTCAAATTCAAATTACCTCCTTGTTCCTTCCTGATAGATTTACAGAGTCTCTTTGTAGGTTCAGATTTTTCCTTATTTCAACTGGTATCATCTCGGCACCCTCGCCATCGCCAGTGTACGCAGGAGTCTTCTCTGTGGAATGGTTCACTTCCTCTCTATCTCTTTCTTCCTCATCGAGTTCTACGAGGACTGGAAACCGTGACTTGGGTGGCTGTGTTTCAGCTCTCCTGTTACCTTTCATAATCAAGCCCATCTCCGTACGGTTTTCCCTCAGACCCCTCTGCCTTGATAACCTAGCCTTCTTTGTCCCAGAGACAAACATCCACGGACCAAAGGTCTCTTGATTCTTTGTTACTGAGCCATTGGTTCTTTGTTCTAGTAAGTTTCCTTCCGGTGAATTTTCCGACGCACCTCGTTGGTGATTTTTTTGGGCAGGAAGAACCTGTTGCTGTTTGAGAACTCTTTTTCCACAGACATGCTTCCCGATGGTGACCGTATCGGCCACATTCGAGACATATGAGTTTCAATCCCTTGTACTCTACACTGAACACTTCACCTGCCACAATCACACGAGGAACCAGTTGTTTCTGCAGGTCTAGTTCAACGCATATCCGGGCATACTGAGCGCGTTCTACCTTGTCTCCTGCATTTTCTGCTAGTGTGTGCAGATCCACTCGAAGAGGCCGTCCGATTCTATCCCCAAGTCGAAACATGCAGTGTTTATTGTAGCACATCATAGGTATGTTGGGAACTCTGACCCACGAGACAATCCTTCAGAGTTGGTTTTTGAAAGGATTGAAATATGGAGTCCATCGTTGCACCAATATGCTATGCTGGGCTATTACCCATGGTCCATCATAGAGTACTTTCCTGTAATGTTCCCTCCACAAATCCTGGTTGGTGAACTTGACTATATAATAATTGTTGGGGATATCTATTAGCTCAAAATCTATAGTACCCCAAAGTCGTGTGAGGTGGGTTTTTTAAACGCGTCATAGTAGCTTTTGTAATTGGAATGGAAAATCCCCATAGAAGTTTAGTAATTAGAAATTCTCCGATCCACCTTAAAATTATATTTAAATAATAATAATGATAATTACTGCTTATCAGACTTATATTAAATTATATTTCTCCTATTAACCTGTGTTGCTTTTTAGTAATTATATTTGTCCAAACATACTCCTTTGATCTTATTTATAAGGCACTTCCAGCATGTTTCACACAGACAAAAAAAAACTTTAAATTTTATTAACTTTTATTTAAAATTTAATGACTTCTCAACTTTATCCCTATTTAATATATATTATATCTCGTATAAATAAAGTCAACACAATAATAAATGAGGGGTAAAATTATACATCTATATAAAAAAAAATTTTCTCAGTACCCTATAAATAAGACAAAAAATATCTTTTTTTTTTCTGTCCTATAAATAGGACCAAAGGAGTAATGTTCTCCTAAAAAAAGTATTCAAGCAAGAACCACCATTAACCAACGTAATTTTTAATCATTATCACTTATAAAAATTATGACCATTTAAAATCACAATTATTCACTGTTAATCCAAATAAGAACTATATTTTACAAACATATTTTTGGCCAGAAATTTTACAAACATATTTAACGCTTACGAATGTAGACAAATTATACAACATAAATAAAATTCATTATTCACCTGTCAAAATTTCACTATCAAAAATTATTTTCAAATTATTCGCTAATACAAAGCTTATTGCGAGAATCTGCATAAACTGGATCCAACAGAACTTGGGTTTAGGTATAACAAATTATTTGATGATAGATTCAGGAATCTCAACCTGTCGGCATTTCCCCCTCCAATTTATTGTGAGAGAAATCAATGTTTATAAGCCTATAAGGGTTCTCGCACTCCAATTCTCTTTCTTTCCACACATAGGAAAGTTCCAATAAAAAATTTACCTATTTGAAATTTTCTGTCCTCCACCAGTCTGATAAAACGATCAAAATCATTTATAACATATTTCTGAGCCATTGCAACCAAGTGAGGCATCTTGGCATTGGTCCTGTAAACTAGTTAAAAAAGAGATCCAAAAGCTGGCCTTTGGTAAATAATACGGATGCAAGGGCAACTTTCCATCCAATTTATTTATTCGCAAGCTAAGAGTTACCAACTCTTTTAAGTTGTCTCCTGTCCATGAAGGTGGTGTTGTTCCTGGCCTATCATTTTTTCCCCAAAACTAACATTCCCATTTCAGTTGCATTTTCAAACGAGGGTAGTACACCACTAAAGCGATTGTTTCGCAAAACCAATTGCTTAAGTTGACTTAAAGACCCCATAAAATTAGGGATCCTTCTGAGAGTCGATTATTACATAAATCAAGAATCTTTAAAGATTTAAAATGATCCCAACAATCAGAAAGTTTTCCTAATAAATTATTATTTGAGAGATTGAAAACTACCAAATTTTTAACAATTGCACTCATTCCCTTGCCACATGAATGAACAAATCTTGAAATTTGATTTTCTCAAATGTCTAAAAGTCGAATCTTTAGTATGACAGGTGGAACAAAGCATTTAATTTGATTTGAAGCCAATGATATACCATAAATATTAAATTCATCAAGTGGCAGATCTGAAATTGCACATGAGATTACTGGATTCTATTTGCGGTTACGAATAATGGTAATAAAATATACCGCATCTATGACATACTATACTGTTGTCATTACATTATGTTTATATTGCAAACTACAAAAATGGCAATTTAAACTTCAATGTTTTGCTGAACCTTTCGTTTATTGGGGAAAAAATAGAAAAAGAAACCGGAAACTGTCATCTCCCAATTCAGGCATGTAACACTTCAAAATGACAGATAAAAAAGTAAACCCAAATTGAGATTTTAAAATTAAAAAAAATACAAAAATGCTTCTTTATTATTCTTTAAGGAAAGTTTGGAATACCCAAATTGAGCCTTTATGTTAATGGGGCATTTTTGTAATTTTTTTAAATTTTAAAATTTCAATTCGAGTTTACTTCCTTCCCTATCATTTTCAAGTGCTAGGTGTCTGAATTAGGATACCATAATTTCAGACTTCTTTACCTGTCATTTTCTTTTTACTAATTACTATCAGGGAAAAAAATTCTTTTCCCTTGTCAAAATGTCCTCTTTGTTTTTTTAATTCTTAAACACATCAGAGGCTGATCGTTCAACTGGATTGATTGGTCATTAGTTATTACAATAATGTTAAATAATTAGTACTTGTAATCGGTTCTCCCCATCATCAGCTGACCAAAAAGACAAACTTTGAAATATTTTACACCTTGTTCAGATAAATCTGTCGTTTTCAAAAGCAATTAAAAAACAAAAAAATTGTGCACGAAAGTCAATAATTTAGCGTTTAACCTGTATACGCGTCCTTCCTCCGTATTAATTTAATCAGGAAAATTATAAATATATCCTTTTTTTAAAAAAACATTTCAAAATAAAACTAAAAATAAAATAAAAGCCTACTTATGATAATGATGATTGAGTAACCAAACTCAAAAGTTACCTTCCACAAAAGGAAAAAAGAAAGACTAATATAAAGCTACCACTATCGTTATAAAAAGAAGAAGAAAATATGAAAAGTAGATCCACCATTAAGTGATATACATGCATGCATGCTTCACTTTGGGAATTAAATAACTAATAACTATTTTCATGATCAGGAATAGAGCATCGTTGGCCCCATAAGAATTTTTGTAATAATCTCCCTTTAGCACAATAATTGCATGTTTGTAAGACGTATATAAGTCAAGGTCTTCCATTAATATAGTGTCCGGCATATATTTGCCCCCTGAAAAACCATTTTTTAACACCTTGTCCAAATGTTTTTTAGTTGAAAAAAATTGGGCACGTCGCTTTATGCTTTTGTAAATTCGCCATATTCCTTAAATTAAGTATAATTAGATTATTTCGATTGTTCTTGTGTGTTTGTTATAGCAATATTTTAAAAATAAAATGGTACATTATGTTTTTTTAATTAAATTTCATATTTATGGGAAAATGATATAAAAAATAAGAACAATAATTTCAAGAGCTAAAAGATCTCATTTTCGGAATACGCTTAAAATATATGTAGTTGTGAATTCAGCAATCATCATGTACTAGTTGATTCAAGTGTGGTTGTGAGGAACTGAGTTGAGAAAAAAGTTGCTTGCTAGAAGAGTTCATCGTTTTAAGACATTGATTAAAGCAAATTAATCTGTTTTAAGTCATAACAACCAACTTTTCTTTTTATGATTTTATTAGTTATTACAATAATACTGCCCCTCAATTCTTAATATAAGAGCTCGTTTGATTTTTATTTTGATCATAAATATAAGACCATGATCTACTTGATCTCTCATATTTATCTATTTTTTTAAGTAGTTCTTGTAATAATGATAGTTCTAACCAATATACTTGATTAGTAAGGATATTTTAGGAAAGACAATACCTATTTATTATGAATAATAACTTAAC